TTTTTTTCCTTTTCTTTTTATGGGTGGCTGTGATGGGAGGGGAGTGGGTACAAAAGAAGTTCTTGTTTACACAATCATCTAAAGGCCTTTTGTAGCCTTGGAGTTAAAGTTATAGATCCTTGTCAATGAGTTTTTCTTGGTAATTCTCAAAAAGGTCTTGGTGGTGACTGGTGAGGAATTTATGATTGTTGTTTAATTGCATTATATAGTTTCAGCGTGAATGACCAATTTGAAGCACATGTGATAGATTTTAGTTATTATCCTCTAAAGTGCTCTGTTTCCTTGTATATGTGACTTGAAAGATATGAAATTTTGACATTGATGAGGCACTGGCCCCATGTAATTATGATGAATGTCTTGCAAGTGCTATAATACATTGGTCCGTAAATATTTGTAAGAGATTTGGATCTGGCTTAAAATGATAATTGCTTTAGATTGCAACAAGTTCGCTGCTTGTCTACAAGAGGGTGATTTTGTCTCTCATTTTTTTTCTCTTTTTGAGCATTTTTGCATAAAAGCTAAATTTGTTAACTGCCTCTTGTAACAGTATTTCTTACATATGTTTATTGAAGGTTGAGGATGTTGTTCTGAAATTTGAAAGCTTGCACATGAAATTTGAGATAACACCATCATTAGAATCATACAAGGAGCTCATTAAGTTTTGCTGCAGTTCACGTAAGGTAAGACTCAAACTATGAGTAAAGGGAATGAAAAACATTTGAAATAGTATCATTAGCTCTTTTTAAAGGTCTTTTCTTATCAAACCTCTGTTCTTTTATCTTTTAACAAATGCTTTGAAATTGATTAATGTTTATTTATCATAATGTAGGTGCAACTGGCTCTTGATATTGTTAACCAGATTTCTCAAGACGGTTTGAGCTTGTCCATAGACATGCTAAGTTGCATATTGCATGCTATTGAAGAGAACTATGAGTGTAATTTGGTATCGCACTTCAATTCTCTAGTTCTACAAAGTTGTTTTACCCTTATACTGTTTTGTCATTACTCTCATTGAGAATTTTATGTTGTTCTTGACTGTTGACCACTATCTGAGTTTCTTATTATCTTTCTTGTCATTTTGTTTGATCTTAAGGTTTGGCGAATTTATTCAGGGATCTGTTGCCATAACCTTAAGCCAAATGCTGAGACATTTAGAAGGATGATAATTTTGAGTGTGAAAATGAAAGATGTAAGCTGCTATCCAGCTCTCCTGTTTTGTAGTTCCCAGTGCTTGTGTATAGTTAATTCTTTTTGCTTTTCATAATTCCTAATTTCATTTTGATGGGGGGTGTATTTTATCAAACTAATTTTATTCTGAGTTTAAGTTAAATAGAGCTTGTATTTCTTCTCATCCATTAAATGCAGTTTGATGGTGCATATGCGATGCTGAATGATTCAAGGAAAATGAACGTTAAACCTGTAGCTGGCATGTATAATGCTATAATGGCAGGATATTTTCGACAGGTAATTTTACAGTCTAATCCTTTTGTATTTATTTTGTTTCTTCTTTTCTTTTGGAAAAGCTTTATTGCCATTTTAATCTTGAACATGCCTCATGCATGATTTATGCCACTGTTATATAATAATTTTCAGAAGAAAATTTCTGCTGGGTCGAGGGTTCTCAAGCAAATGGAACTTGACAGTGTAAAACCAGATCCCCAAACTTACAGCTATCTAATAGCCTATTGTGAATGTGAAGAGGATATTATCAAGGTAGTTCGATGCAATGTAGTAATTGCTTGAAATTTATGTCTTCGCTGTTTCTATATGTAGATAAGTTCATCTCTGCTGTCTCTTGCATTATTGCTACTTCTATTCTTGTCGTGCTGCAAATGGGTTTCATGGCCACTGATACAATAATTTCATTATTTGCTTGTAGTATTATGAAGAACTGAAGTGTTCTGGGATTACAGTAACGAAGCACATATTTATGTCACTTATCAGTGCATATGCAGCTTGTGGACAGTTTGAGAAAGCAAAACAGGTAGGACTGAAATACATCCATCTAGCACCATTTTCATTTGAAGTCCCACCTGTTTTTGAGATGCAAAAGCAAGAGGAAATATACTGATTATATGGTATAGAGAAATTAATCCTCTTGATGATGCAGTTTCAGCCATGATTAAGTGTTGGATATGTGATATATCTATGGGATCTGACTGATGCACTAAAATCACCCTAGCAAGTGTACTAATCGCTCCAAGTAATATAATGATAAGAAGAGTGTCGAACCCACGAGGATTGTGTGTAACTAAGTACCAAAACAATTAATCCAAATTTATTTGAACAATCAAATAGGAAGAAAGTTTAATAAAAAATAATAAAACGAAAATAACAAATAAATCTAATCAAGATAGAAGGTACTAAGGCATTGATTTGACCATAATCAATCAATATAAATTCTGGATTAATATACTTTCAAAACCAATTTATTGAGTGTTATTGCATGTGATGGCGGATTTTCTTAAATTAATTAACTAAGTTAATCCTTCACTAGTTTGTTAAATTAATCATATCTCTATGTAATTTTAAACCAACTAATGAGCATTAAATTCTATGGAAACCTCTAGCTTAAGAAGGGAGAGCTCCTAACTCTCTTCTCTTCCTCCACTACCACATGTGAGCTAATTACCTCTCGGTCTCATAGTCTAGCACACGGTTTATATTATTATTGGTCTAATCTATGCAATTCTTTCTCAAGTTCATGCATAAATCACTAAATCAATTGATAGATGATCAGGCTTCCAACGCATTAAGTTCAATAATATAAACTCCTCATACAAATAACTTTAATTGAAAACATAAAATCACAAAATCTATATTGAATTGATTAGGCTACATCATAGCCTTAATAAAATAAATCAGTTCATAATAAAAATAATAAAATCTGAAATAACAGTTATGAACATAAAAATGTCTAAGGAAAAATAAAACCTAATTTGAGGTAATTGAAATCCTTGATCTTCTTGTTGATGGATCTTCTATCTTGGCCTCCAAGAGTGCCCCAAAAAAGAGGGCTACCACTAGCCTCTCAAAGATCTTCTCAATTCTGAATTTGGATGAGTATTTATAGGATTTTAGAAACTCTAATTGAAATAAAAGTAGGACTTGGAATAGAAATAGGAAACTGAATTTTAGATGCTGATAGCGTGGTGCTGACACTTCGGATTACGTGTTGACACAAAATAGGAAACAGGATCTGATTCTGCACGTTTAACGCATGGTGTCGACACCCCGATAATATGTCGACACTACACCCGTGTCGGGTTTCTGGTCTCCTTTTGCAATTTCTTCGATGGTAAAATAGCAGATTTGGTTCCTGACTTCTGGATTCTGCACAAGTTGATCCTCAAGTCTCTGATCTCTTCAATTTACTTCTAAAAAGTAGGATTTCTTCCAATTAAATCATTTTCTACACAAAAAATGAAAACCATGTAAAATCAAATAAAATCCCATAAAACTCATCCAAATATCAATAATATCAAAGTAAAAATTCCCTGTTAATATGTATATAAATTTAGCTCATCAAATTCCCCCAAACTTAAGTTTTACTCGTCCTCGAGTAAAATAAAAAGACAAAAGAAACAAAAATAAAATCTAACTCACTTTCGTAGGAATCACGATTGCACTTAGCATGTACAACAAGCCTTTAAACCCCTAGGTCACCCTAGTGGACGAGTTGTGTCTCGTGAGGGTTTGCAGCGGATCTACCCACAAAATCCCAATACAAAAATGCAACTATATGATATGTATGCAAAGAAAATTTAGGAATTAAAGTTCAATTAGAGGCAAAGTCTCAAATATTCAAAAGTTCTCATATGCTCACTTAAAGTAAAATACTCCATCTTATTTTTCACACCACTTGTTAAAAGATTTAGCCCATGAGCACTTAGTGTGTGTGTGGAAATTC